TTGGGGGCGAGGGCTGCAGTGACGAAAGGATGAAAGAATGTTATATTGACAACTTCTCAGTTCCATCAGGACGTGTGACCACGAGGCAAAAAAAAAAACCCAAAAAAAACAACTTAATATAGAAACTAATACGTGAGTGTCCCAATTCAGTTCATTTACAGTCTATTGTAGAAAAAAGGAGGAACTGGGAGAAAGTGAAGATCAGCAAAGCCAGCGCTTCGGTTCTCAATTCTTCTCCTCGGCCGTCACTTCTTTGCCTTCTTCTCCTTTCTTCTCCTCCTTCTTCTTCTCTTCTGAGGTCTTAACCTTTACCGAGAGCTCCTCCAGTTTCTCTGCCACCTTGTCTGTGTTTTCTGTGATTAAAAAAAAAAAAAAATCACCATCAACTAAACTAAAGACAGCAGCGATGTCCAATCAAAGTGCAGCATTTTCCAACCCTTTATTTAAAACCCTCAATTCCGTGACTTTACTAATGTAGCAGAGAGCCGACGACAGACTTTTTAAATTAAAATAATATTAATTAAAAGCCATTGAAACGTCAGCTCCTGCAGGTCATTGTAGCAGACAGAAAAAGTTCCAGGCTGAAGGCAGCAGCCAGGAACAGAGTGAGTCTGCAAAGTCGCCGCACCTTCGTCACTGGTGTCTGACGTGGGAGACCAGCGCCGGTCTCCACTGGTTCGACGTGTTTGCACCACCTCCACTTCTATTCGGTTCTTTAAGTTCATTTATGCAGTAAGTACTGACCTCTGACCCCTGCAGCTGAACCTAGCACCGATGCCTCTCCGCTCACTGCTGCTTCTTCTTCTTCCTCCTCCTCCTCATCATCATCATCCTCATCACCCTGACTGGTGTCACCCTGTCGCTCATCTCTGGCATTTGTGGCTAATATTGATGGACGATAGTCATAAACACGAGGCATTGCTAACAGTTAGCTACTGTAGCCTAGCTAACATGTAATCTTTTTTTTACGTCTGACAATAAACCCGTGTCATCTGCCGACACCTGGGGTCAGGTGAAGGTCAACAGACTTTTAGTAGTTTCAGGCCCAAAAATATTACTTTAAATTATGTGTCAAACATAAGGCCCACGGGTCAAATGCTGCCCACTCAGTGGTTTCGTACAGACAGCTGGATCTTAAGAAAAATGTAATTGTCCTATAACAAAGTGTTGGATTTATCGTCCTCCTGCTGAGCCAATCAGATGTCAAAAAAAGGAAAAAAAGATGGGACAAATTGAGGGTCTTTCCACTCACCCGTGTCTCCCTTTTGTTTACGGACTTCCTCTTTGCACTCGTCAAACTTTGCCTTGAACTTCTGGGCATCTGTAAGAACAGAAGAACTCGCCGTGAGTGGACGTGACATCGCAAAGCGGTAGAAGTTAAATTCACAGACGGTTCTTACTTTCTGCGTTTAAAAATCTTATTGCCAGTAGTTCGGGTTTGGGACTTTCGTCAGCGTAGTCCGCTAATGTGTTCCACACCCACGCCCTGTCACTGCCCGCGTTGGACTTCAGCTCCATAGTGGGCACAACTGAAATGACAAGAAATTTCAGCACGTCGTTTCACAAAGAACGAAAAAAAAAAAAAAGATTTTTTTTTTAAATATCAAGAATAAATGAATTCTCTTTACTGTGATGGTTAGCACAGATCTTCAGGGTCTTGTCTCTCCTCATCAGCAGGCGGATCGTTCCCTTCTCCTTGTGTTTCAGCAGCTTGACGTCACCGGTTCCTCTTTCCTTCCACTCTTGAGGCTTGTTTTCAGTGGCAAAACGAAAAAGTTTGGCCCGCCTGAAGAAAAAAAAAAAAAAAAAAAAAAACAACTTTCAAATTTGGCATTTCAGGCCAATTTAAAAAAAAAAATGTATAGAGAGCGTACATTTTGAAGAGCTCCTCCTCGTCCTCCTCTAGTGTCTTAACATCCTGCTCAGGAAGAGATACTATGGGCTCAAACTGGGGGTCGTGGTTGGGCTCTTCTGCACTGTCTGCAGGAATGTCGTGTTCTTCCTTGTTGTGAGAAAAGAAGCGGAGATTAAACAAACAAAAAACTTGAATTGTAGCTGTTATCCGTCAGACATTCAGATCAGGACGGAATATGGAAGCCAGACCATGTGCTCATCAGCAGCTCTGTCCTTTTTTAAAAGCCACCCATTGGTGGACAAAAAAAAAAAAAAAGAACCGATAAACAATACCGCGCACGTGGGTTACCGTAACTCAATACATATTTGAAATACAAAAACTAAAATTCATATCGCGTTTTATGCGCGAAATAAACGCAAAAATTGTTTGTAAGTTTTAAATATAAATGATTCCGTCACTCAATACTCATATTTACTTGTCTTAATCTTATTTAGTATTCCTATTGTTGAGGTCTTACAACGCCGAGAAAACTCTACTAGAAGTTTCTCTCAGCGGGGCCTGTAGTTAGCATGTCACAAGCTAAAGCTAAACCTTTATTTGTAATTAAATATATAGCTAAAATTGGAATTAAGATGCACTAGTGCAGTTAGGAAGATGATTAAAGAGATAACAGACTCAAACTATTGTTAATATTAAGTGAGGCTAACAGTCTGGTAAACTTCCGTGTATCCGGCGTCCAGCTAATTCAGCTGGCATTGATTAACTAACGTTAAAAACGGACATGTTTAGAAAGAGACACGACTGTAGCTTCACTGTTTACATGGTTATCTATATAACGTGCCGCTAACATATGATTTTCATTCACTTAAATAAAATCGTGACAGCGGTTGTACTTATGTTAAATAATGTACAACTACACACCAAAACGACCGCGGCAGCTAATGCTAACAATGCTAACACGTCTATGAAAACGCTTCGGGACGAGATGCCCAAAGACACAAAACCAGAAAGGAGGCCCCAATGAGTCGTGGAAAATATAATAAATACTTATCACGCGTCATAGCGTTAAAAAATACTAATAAACCACCTTTCGTAACGTCACTATTGTCCGCATCACTGGTTCTTTTGGCGTGCCGCTAAAGTGAGACTTTTTCACAATTATCCACACGTTAAATGGCTTATTTATGTCCAAATTTAGATCTTAAAATGAAGAAGAGAGGATAGACGACACAACATTATGAATCTTACCTTTGGGTCTGCCATATTATTGTAGATGTTTGCAGATTTTCGAAGTAGTACTAACAGATTCAAATCCCAAACTGACCGCCGTTTCCCTCCAACTGCTTCACTTCCGTCTCACGCCTGCGTGCCTTTCATATCCGGAGCACAGTGCGTGAAATGAAATTCCCTTCCATCCTGTGAACGTTTTATTTGCGTTTTCTAATCACGTGATCATTTTAATGCGTATAATACGTAAGGAACCGTTGTGACGTCTCTTCTGACCAGTTAATTGATGGTCTGTTTCCGGTCTGTTTCCGGTCGATTTTACACTCACTAAAAATTATGCCTGTCACTTTAAGAGAGTTCAAAGTTGAAAGTGGCACGTGGTCACACAACATGGTGGCGCCCTGCGTGTTTCAGTAAAAGACTGTGGTTTGAAATAAATCTAAAGAAGAAGGTAAGATCGGTCGACGGTGTGAACAGTGTGCACGGTTACTGACCTCAGATGGCGCTAGTCACTACACGAGCACCTGACACGTTTATAAACAAACTGCGGCGAAGCTTTAACCGCGGTCTTTATGACGTGTATATACTGTATGTTTACGTCTGTTTAAACAGCGAATCAGCGAAATCGTTACCTCAGCGGTTTTTTCAGATAAAATATACTATTTAATGGTTAAATAATTTTTTGTTTTGTTTATTTAGTTGCTGGTTGTAACTTTTTGCGTTGCGTGCGCTTTAATACATTTTATAAACAGTTTTCTTGACTTGGATTACGTAATTACCGTATTAACTTCGTGTTATGTTAACAGACTAATAATAATGACAAAGAGTCGGTACGATAATCAGTAATGTTGTAAAATTAAAAAAAAAAGTGCTTAACTTGGCCGACAGATGTCGATGTTTCCAAAGTAGCTCATAAGGGGGCGCCATAATGATGGTAATAGACCATAAGGGATGGTTGGTAATCGTTTTTTAAAACATAACTCCATTTGGCTTCAGGTCAGAAGACCTTAACCATCGATACTAGTTAACCAGAAGCTAACCAGAAGCTAACCAGAGCTGGTCTTAATTGCGGTCTTTCCCAGCAGAGCGATGGCAGACGGTGGTGACAAACCTCTGGTTGAGACCCTTCCTCCCAAGGTTCCTCCCAAGGAGGGGGGCGGTCCCGACGAGCCCGTCCGGGTGTGCGACAACGACGGCGTGATGTCCGATGACAGAGCCGAAGGGACGGCCGAGGCTGCGTCCGACTCGGGCGCGTACGGCTACATCAAAGAAGACCTGTTCACGTCGGAGATTTACAAAGTGGAGATCAGGAACCTGCCCAAGTTCATCGGCTTCAACGACCTGAAGAAGTTCCTGGCCAAGCACGGCCTCAGCTCACACAAGGTCAAACTGTTTGACAAGCACAAGTTCGCATTTGTCACCTTCAAGAACGAGGAGGAGCGCGACAAGGCGATGAAGATGGTGCACGGCATGCAGTGGAAGGGCCAGGTCCTGAGCGTCCGGTTGGCCAAACCTAAGGCAGACCCCATCCTGGGGAGGAGGAGGAATAAGGGGGAGGACAGAGGCTCGGGGGGGCAGCCGCCCTGCAAGCGGGCAGAAGGAGAACCGGACGAGGAGCCGCTCAGCGTCCAGATTGCCAACGTGGTGACTCCTCTGTGGGGAGTGCCTTACGAGGAGCAGCTGAGGAGGAAGGAGAACGAAGTCAGGGGCGTTCTTCAGAGGTTGGCCAAGTAGGTGGTCTTAACCAATCAGGTTATTCATTAATTAGGGATGTCTGATATTTTGGCAACTTTTTTGCCAATATCCGATATGCCGATATTACCCTAGGGGGCAGAAATTTCTTCACGGCATCTGACTCGTCTGTCTCCAGGGCATTACGCTAGTTTTAGAGCACACATCTTTTAACAAAACCCAAGCATTGTGTTATCAGGTTTTCATTATCGGAGGAAAAACCAATAACGATTCTTACGGATATGACATAGCTATGCTAACATCGGGCCGATATCGTCGGACATCCCTATCATTAATCCAACCATTGAATCTTTTTGTGACACTCCTTTGAGCTCGCCCTCTAGTGGGAGATGTTTGCAACTAACTAACCGTGTGTCCACAGGGAGATCGGCAGCACCAACAAAATCCTGCTGCCGTGGCTGTTTGCACAGAAGGGGAAGTACAATAATATGTGCTGCCCCCTGGAGGCCATTCAACCATCGCCCACACAGGTGTGTAGTGTGTTCAAAGGTCGACCGTCTGTTCACAGAGACGCACCAATCACGTGTCCTCTCTGTCCCCGGTAGACGGCCTACAGGAACAAGTGCGAGTTCCTCATCTCAATGGGAGCAGACGGTCGCGACAAGACCATCGGTTTTCGTCTGGGGAAGTACAAAGGAGGCTCATGCGCGGTAGTGGGCCCGGCCGACACGTGTCATGTGTCCGACCAGGCCAAGAACGTAGTCGGCAGCTTCCAGACGTTCATCAGGTGATTATGAAGACGGGAAATACGGCTGATGATAACGTGTTTCCGCAGATGAAATATCAATAATAATTAGGGATGTACGATATTCGGATATTGTCTGAACGCCTAATTTCCAATTTCCGGAAGTTAAGTGTCGCCTGCTCACTAAGTCAATGGGTTAAAGCAGTGTTTCTTAATTATGTTCTGCCATACCGCCACTAGGGGGCGGAAGTGTTTTTTTTAAACCCTCATCCCCCTAACATGAGTCTCTGGTAATATTTATTTATCTGTACAAACCAGCATTAAAATAGATGAACAAAATGAGCTGCGATACTGCCATCTAGTGACCTTCACTGTCACATACAGCCGTTTTTCCCCCCAAAACTATTTTTATTGCACACATCATTTGGCTAAACCCAAGTGTTGCGTTATCGGGTTTTTATTATCGGAAAATTAAAAAAAAAAAACAATAACGATTCTTACTGATATTACGTAATATGCTAATATCAGTCCGATTATTTTACGAACAGAACCACGCCGTACTCTGTGTACAGTCCTGAGACGTACGAGGGTCACTGGAAGCAGCTGACGGTACGCAGCACCAGGAGCGGTGAGACCATGGCCATGGTCTTCTTCAACCCACAGGTGAACATGTGACATTTTTACTGAAAAAAAAAAACGATGTCAGATCAAACGTGTCCGATATTTATCGTCTTTTATGTCTCGTAGAAACTGGAAGAAGAAGAACTGGACGACCTGAAGAGATCCATGCGGGAGTTCTTCACGGACGGCGAGGGACAGAGCTGCGGGCTGACTTCTTTATACTTCATCAGAGAAGGTCAAAGGTGAGGTCGTCGCTGACTGCTGCCGGTCGGAATACTGCACGATACCACAGTACCGCTAACATGCTGTGTTGTTGGTCAAGGACCTCACCTAATCCTGAAGACCTGCCCTGTGAGCTGGTCGCCGGGGAGACCTGCATCCACGAGGAACTGCTGGGCCTGAAGTTCCGGATTTCTCCTCATTCTTTCTTCCAGGTAAGAACAGTAGCACATGTACACGTACTGCATGTGTACATGTACTGCATGTGTACATGTACTGCATGTGTACATGTACTGCATGTGTCATGTGTACTGTACATGTACTGCATGTGTACATGTACTGCATGTGTACATGTACTGCATGTGTACGCTGAGGGTATGTGTGTGTGTGACTCCGCAGGTGAACACCGCAGCTGCGGAGGTGCTGTACTCCGTGGTGGGGGAGTGGGCCCAGCTGGACCAGGACAGCACCGTGTTGGACGTGTGCTGTGGGACGGGGACCATCGGCATCTCCCTGGCTAAGGTTCGATCTCTTTCTTTGAATTTTATTTCCCCAGAATATCGCAGTTTTTTTTTCACGTTCTTGTTGATATAATATAATACCCGCAATAATGTCAAACATCGCCGTTATCAACATTCTCCAGCAGGGGTCACTAGCAGTACCTTTACTGCGTTAGGAACCAAAAATAATAACAGGAAGAAAAAAGGAAAGTGAACTCCTTTTCGTTGTGACAGCACTGCTTTTTAATCCCTCACCAAAGTCAGCAGGGGGCAGCATGCTCAGGGCACCTCGGTTTTGGACTCGAACCTGAAACCTTCCAGACCTAAGTCTTGGATCACTTCCTTAACCACTGATCCACCACGACTGCCCAGGGTTTTTTTTTGTCACTACTTTTCGCATTTTATTTACAATTTACGAACGACTGTGAAGTCTTTCTGTTACACAGGAGGCAGTAGAGAGCAGCCGTCACCTTCAGAATAAAAGACGGTTCTGTTTACAGTATCGCGTCAAGTACAGTTTTGGCTAACTTTGACCTCGGTGACCTGACGTTTGTCCGCAGAGGGTGAAGAAGGTGATCGGGATCGAAATGTGTCAGGAAGCAGTGGCGGACGCTAAGGTTAATGCCAAGCTCAACGGTGAGAGTGCGCCGTGATCATCACGCACAACTCAAATGTTGTCATTAATTAATACTCGCAGTACTACATTTGCACGTACTCACCCGTGTGCGTTCCAGGTCTCAGTAACGTCGAGTTCCACTGCGGCAGAGCGGAGGACGTGTTCCCCAACGTTCTCGGCGCGGTGGTGTCGCCCAATGTCACGGCGATCGTGGACCCGCCGCGGGCAGGTCTACGTAAGTCCGCAGCTCCCCCTGTGGATATGTCAAGAATGTTATTTTTTATTTATTGTTGTTGTTGTTTTTTGTTTTTTTTTGGACGATAGACTCTAAGGTGATCCTGGCGATCAGGAGGGCGGAGCACCTGAAGAGGCTGGTTTACGTGTCGTGTAACGCCAAGGCAGCCATGAACAACTTCGTAGAGTGAGTTCTACTGCAGTTTCACTGATGTACTGCAGTATCGCAAATACGGTAAACAAACGGAATTAAAAAAAAATGTCCGCGTTTGTTTTCCAGCCTTTGCAGAGCTCCTTCCAACCGGGTTCAGGGCGCCCCCTTCAGACCAGTGCGAGCCATCTCTGTGGATCTGTTCCCCCAGACCATCCACGTTGAGATGCTCCTTCTACTGGAGAGAGAGGGATACAGCACCCCGACCAGCAGCGATCGGGAAAAGATAGATAGCTAGCCTTGGTACAGCGTGCTATTAAATTTTTTTTTTTTTTTTACATTTGTAAAGTATCTGCAAGGCTAGTACTTGTCGAGAGGCCGAGCTAGTACCTTCTTAAGTTGGCTTCACGAACTGCTTTTTATCTATTGCATCTTCCTGGGCTACGTCACCAAACACAGACGGAAAGGTTTCCTGTGGAAAGGGCAGGGCGACATCTAGTGGTGAAATCTTGTTTTAAGTGTAGAACGCGCGTTTCCCTTTAAAACTTAAGAACACGAATGACGTGTATTTCTGTTTTTAATCAATAAAAATACGGAGGGCGCCCACAAGGTGGCGCCACTCTCATGCATTCATTTCAAACGTCGATTCTTGTGGTTTGTTCTCGGTCTTCCTTTTCTTTGGCAGAAATCTTAGAGGCAAAGATGGCGGTGCATGTCCGATCACTGTAGTACGACAAACATAATTCAACTATATTTTTGTATTTTCCACTGTAATTAACCAGTATAAAATATATCGTTTACCTGAAAGACGTCTCGTTCTCGCGATGATGAGCTTCACGAGATTAAAGATGGCGACGCGGGTCGCATAAATACGTTGAATATTTAATTATTTTAGGTTTAAAAAAAAACAAGATTCAACAACTGGACATTTAAGTATTAAAAAAATAAAACACAAATGTTATAAACCTTGTCCAGTCCCCAGGGGTCGCCATAGTAGAAAAAAAAAAGTGAAGTCGAGAATATCTACTCACAATTTTCATTTATGATAAAGTTCCGTCCTAGTCATGTGTGTGTTGTAGTGTCGTTGTTCGACTCGTTCTTCAAACCGGAAGTTGACAAATCAGGTACAGAAAGTAGACAAATCAAAATCAGGTACAACAAATAATTTTATTGTTAACATGGCATCTAAACAAAACGAAAACATGTGAGAAAATAAAAGCATGGCAAGGCGCGTTTCCTTTGCAGGACTTTTTAGACCAGGTGTAGTAGTACCAGGAACTGAATGGAAATATGGAACTGTTTCAGTCCACAATCAGTCATCACCTGTCTGAAAAAACGGAGGAACATTTGCCGACGTGATCGGAGTCGGACTGACCTGTGATCGGGTTGAACGGTCGGTCCGTTGTTTACAACCATAACATCCATCGGTTCCTGGTACCTGGCAGTGGAAATGGGTCCAAAATAGTTATTTATTTATTTATTTGGAACGTTAAAATACTCTGTGGCACTGTGCTTTTTTTTCGACTAAAGTGTTAGCGTCGGAGGCCGAGTCTGGAGGAAAAAAAAAAAAATGGCACCGAAGACGAAAAGTCATCGCCACGGAAACACGAGTCACTTCTGCACTGACATCGGTCGCCGTCGGTGCAGAAACTTCTAGTTAAGGCAGGTGCTAACGACCAGAGCTAACGAACGGTCATCACTTCACGAAGCACTTTGTTTTGAAAAGTCGTGCAAAAACAAAACAAACAAACAAACAAAAAAAACAAGTCAGTGGGTGTTCGTTCTTTTTATCGTTTACAAAGACTAAACATCCATCACAGCTACCGATAAAACGGGTGGGCGTTGACCAGCGATGAAGGCGACAAATACACAAATTTTAGGCCTGTCAAAATACTTGAAGCAACAAAAACTATCCGTGGGGATGTGGAACTTTATAGAAACTAACTAAACGAAGCAATCGTTGTCGTTGTTTTTTATTCTAACACAGAAGCATGCCGTTTCATTTAAACGTTCTTATGTTGTCAGCAGTTGATGTGTTCCCCCCCCCCCCCGCCGGTCCCCGTCGTGACCTTTGCCACAGTGAGGGGGTGCATCTGCAGAGGTAGATGGTATTTGCTCTACGGTGTGTTAGGCATTAGTTCTGACCCACTCCGATGGATTTTCCTAATTTGACGAGACGTGAATGAAGGGACGGCAGCGGTTCTGACCGGCCGTCTCTAGCCGCCCACCACTTCGGTTGAAGCGTAACAAAGTGGTGGGTCGCGTTTTACACGAGTGACGGTGTAAGACAGTGACTTAAACGTCCACCGTGCACAGAGGCTCTCCCCCCGGCTGGTCCGACTGCATTATCGTCATCTTCGGCTTCTTCCTTGTTTCCTCCTGGAATTAACACAGACAGGAATGTTTCATTAGTGTCGCAGCAGCAACAACAACAACAACAACAACAACAGCAATAATCCTGACATTTTGAATCTACGTGTCTGCCTGGTCATTAGCAGCATTAGCATCATTAGCAGCGTTAGCAGCACTTTTAGCAGCATTAACAGCATGAGAAGTAGCGTTAGCAGCACTGTTAGCAACATTAACAGCAGCACTAGCCGCATAAAAAGTAACGTTGGCAGCATTAGCATCACTGTTAGCAATATTTACAGCAGCATTAGCAGCATGAGAAGTAGCCTGAGCATCGTTAGCAGCACTGTTAGCAACATTAACAGCAGCATTATAGCAATGAGTAGCATTAGCAACATTAATAGCAGCACCAGCCGCATTAGCAGCATAAAAAGCAGCATTAGCAGCACTGTTAGCGACATTTACAACAGCACTAGCCGCATTAGCAGGATAAGAAGTAGAGTCAGCAGCACTGTTAGCAACATTAACAGCAGCATTATAAGAATGAGAAGTAGCATTAGCAGCACTATTAGAAACATTAATAGCAGGACCAGCCGCATCAGCAGCACGAGAAGTAGCTAGTAGTTAGTGTCGTTAGCAGCTCACCCTCTGTGCTGCCAGTTTTATCATCTCCTCCTGCAGCTTGTTCAGGATGTGCAGGTTGGGTTTGTTCTTCTTGGCGAACTGCTGCAGCTCGATCACACTCTTGTCTGAGTTCTCCTGTGAGACAGAACCGAGGAAACATTCAACATTCAACCACAGTACTTACAGCGCCCCCTACTGGACCCCCCACTCCTGACGGCACCCACCTTCTTCACCATCTTGTTGCTCTCCCGTCCGTACATGCGCAGCAGCGAGCCCCAGTTCTTCACGTGGGGGTGGAGCATCTGCAGGATCTTCTGGGACGCTAGCTGTTTACCCACCCTCTTGTTTTTACCTGTGGGGGAGCGACCGACAGCGGGGTCAGACTATAGTACAGGTCGATGGTACACACACACACCATGTGACCAATGAAGAACCGCCGTCACTTACACCAGCCTCTCACGGTGTGTTTCCCACACGTCATCACGTACTCGCTCTTCTGGTTCTTCCCGGGGATCACCTCAAACTGTATGCTGGTGTCTCCCATCCCATGGTTTCTGCAGTGGAATCAGACCAGGACGTCAGTACCAGGTGAGGTGACATCAACACCCGTGTGTGTGTGTGTGTGCAGCAGCTCACCTTTTAAGGCACTCGTGGAGAATCTGATAGGGCGACAGCAGCCCGGCCTTGTTGGTCAACTCGTAGACCCTGGAGTCCTCGATACAGATGTGGTTAAAATACTGACGGAGACAGATGGACATTCATCGTCAAACTGTGTCGTACAAATAACGATTAAAAAAAAAAAACAGGGAGGAGACACACCTCCAGTTCGTCGCCCTCTACTGGCTTCTCCTCCGACGTCTGCTTCACAAAGTCGGGGATGAGGATCTCCAGTGTGGCTCGGGCTGCAGGGCACGACAGAGAGGTCACATGACAAGGGTCACACGACAACGGTCACATGACAACACAGATGTGGATCACATTCGTTTTGGCAAGACGTCAAAATATATACTTAATTATTTGGGGGGAACATAAAAAAAAATTTAAAAAGTTTTAAATTTTAATTTTTAAATTAAAAAAAAACAAAAGAAAAATCACATTTTCTCTTTAATATATAAACAAATTTAAAAAAAGTGTTTTCCTGGTCAATCAGTAATTGTTTTAATTTTTTTAATCGCGATTTTTGCCACAGCCCAGCAGCCTGACAACCAATTTTTTGGTGTAAAAGTCAGTGTCAGGTGACATCATCAACGCGTGTGTTACGACAGTCAAAACTGAGGAAAAAGAAAAGAAAGAAAGAAGAGAAAAAAAAAAAAAAAAAAAAGAAAAATGTGAAATTTACCAGCTTTGTTTTTGGCCAGTTTTTTACTGCTAGCTGTCCCCGTGCCGTATGTCACCCCGTCTATAATGACCGAAGCTCCGAAGGGTTCACTTGGGTTCTCTACGGAAAAACACGAACATCACCTTCACTTGAACACTTTGGTTAAACCTTACAACAAAAGTAACTTGACGTTAAAAAATTGAGTCAAAAAAAAAAACTCACCACATTCAAAAAAGTTGTAAACGGGTCGAACCTTGAGGACACGCTGCATATATTCATGCAGGATACAAACTTCAGACTTCCCATTTGGGTTGATGATGAATTCTGAAAAAAATTGGAGAAATGTTTTTTTTAAATATATAGAAAATTCAAATGACTAAGAAAAACAAGTACACGTGTGTACTCTCGCATCAAACGTGCCTTTCTTAGTCGGGGCGTCCTGCACCGACAGCGTGATGAGCTTCTGATTGGCCGGCAGGATGGGTCGCTCCGACTCCGCCTGCTTCCTCTTCATGTCTCGGTTGAACTGTCGGCGCTCGGCCCAGGTGCGGAACTTCTTCACCGTCACCTGTTCGAAGTCGAAGCACTTTTCCAGGTAGGAGCGGAACTCGTTGATGTCTGCGGAGGGCGACATGGAGTCGGGTCACGACTCGGTAACGTAAAAGACGTTAATATATTAAAAAACAAAAAATAAAAAACGCAGTGACCAGGGTGACCAGCAGGGGGCTCCTACCTACGGACTCGTCCTTGCACACCTCCACCTTAGCCTTGACCTGGCCCAGAGCTCCGTGGGCCGTGTCCCAGGGCTGCGGCTCTTTGATCGGCGGGCCGGCGTCCGCGGTGCTTTCGGCCTCCGCAGCTCCGTCGGTCGGGACGGGGGTGGGAACGCCGCCGGAGCTGCGGGAGCCGAGGAGCTCACCTCCTCCTCGCCGGGCTGGACCGAGGACTCCTCCGCGGCAGGAGTTACCTCTCCGTTCAGTTCCTTCTCCTCGTGCTCCTTAATTTTCTTGTAGTGGAGACACGGGATGCTGCTCGTAGGAGGGTCGTGTTTCTGAACGAGCAGGAAAAAAAAAAAAACAGCATTGTTTCCCAAAGACTGGGTTGCAGCCCTCAGGTGGGTCGTAAAAAAAATGTTTGGGGTCGTCTCGCATCGTGTTTCCCAGGAGTTTACCAATAACGTCTATCGACATGGGTCACTTTTAAAATATGGGTCGCCAGAAAAAAAAAAAAAGTTTGACTTTACAGAATGCTTTTATTTTGAAATCTAAAGTTGAGGTTCATCCAGACTTACTCTGATGCTGCCAGTTCCTAGGAAGTAGGGCCTGGACCAGGTGACCACTCTGCTCTCTCTGTGCAGGTACACTGGAATGCCGGAGTTATGGAATGTCATTATCCACCCGTCAGGAAGAGGTTCAGTGGGGGGGCGCCCTCGACCTGACATGGACACAGACGTGACACCAGGTTAAATCCTAGTAACACGACACTCAAAAAAAAACATCTCTGCTTCGTCACCTGACTGACGTCGTCATCGACCACATGACTAAGAAAAAAAACAAAAATGCTCACACAGATCAAATCAGTGGCACGGGAGCGCTCTCTAGTGGTACGCGGGGAAATTTTCATATTTACATTTTCAATTGTATAAATCGGAAACATACCACGCACAATTAACGACATCGGGAAAAAAACGTGTAGCTACTTGTGAGATTACGAACGGGGAAGCTAACAGGGAAGCTAATATATGCTAATGTTGGTCGTCATATATAAAAAGTTTGAGAACCACTGCTCTCGTGCATTGTTTCCCAAACACTGGGTCGCGACCCTGATGTGGGTCACAAGAAACAAAAATTTTTTTTGGGTCGTCTCACATCGTGTTTCCCAGGAGTTTACAAATACCGTCTAGGTTTCTGACTTTCAAAATATGGGTCCCTAAAGAAAAGAAAAAAAAAAGGGAAATACCACTCTAGTGGGCCACATAAACTGATAAGGCGGGCTGGAATGTGGCCTGCAGGCCCTAGGTTTGACAAACACGTTTAAACTGTGCTAATTTCGAATTTTAAGATAAATGAAGTCCCAGCACAGACCGCAGACCACGGTTTCAGAACTCACTCTTCAGGACCGTCTTGATTTTGGTCATCATGGGTTGGACCCCCCCCTCGCCGTCCGACTGATGGTCACTCTCGCCGCCTGACTTGTCCTCGGACGTGCGCATCTTCTTGGGCACGGGCATGCCCTCCTCCAGCAGGGCGTCCACGTCGTTGTCGAACTCCTCCTGGAAAAGAGCCAGGGGTTCGACCCCGCAGAGATCGCGGCTTCAGTTTTTGACGTTTGAGCCCAGAGGGACAGACGCTCCAGGTCAACAGTTTGGAGACAGAGACAGTTTGGCTTCGGTTTGATGGCGTTAGAAGCTGAAATATTAAAGCTGTTGTGCTTTAAGAAAACGCAATAAAAAAAAAGTTGATTTAGTTAAAAAATGCGTTAAAAAAAAACACCGCAAAACTCAACTAGTTTTTTTTTTTTGTTACA